ACCGGGGCCTGCATGCTGGAGTTGACTTCCCTCAGGGCATCCCGTGGCCTTTGGGTGGCTTCTGCATGGTGCTGCTTCCGGGCTGCAAAGCATACAACCTTTCTGCGTATCAATGCGAGATGCCAGGGGCCACCGTCCATCTTTCCTCAAGAGGACTGTGCAAAGAATGGGAATAGATTTGTGAACGCACCACACGAGACTAAGCCTCGCCGCTTGCACTGATGTTCTGTCAGACATGAGATCACCTGAAAATCCTGCAGACCGTACTTCCAAGCCACTAACCCCTAGCACCCAGCCTGAGCTAGACTCCTCCTCCTGCCTGCTTCCCAGACTTGGGCACCCCTTAACTTTAAGGGGTACTTTGGCCATATTTCTGGAAGTTAAAGAGCAGGGAAATAAAGGAAAAAAGAAAAGCAGAGACCCTGTGGCTAAGAACAGACCAGGGAAACCCAGAGCCCTGTCACATCTCTGTCACCAACTGCTTCCATGACCTGCAGTGAGAATCCTAGCTTTTCCCATTTATGAACAATAGATGTCATTGCTTGCCTCAGGAACTCCAGCTTGGCCACCAAGTGCTATTCTGAGTTCCTGGTTTAATTTTCCAGGATGATAATGCAACAGAGATTGGATGCTTTCCTCTTACACTGTTCCCAGCATCCGTTTATCAAGAAAAATGTTGAGAACTGAAACCTCTCTGGTGTCCAACCCTGGGGCTTCACTTGGCATCCTCGAACAGATCGCAACTGGGAGTAATTGCTGGGAGAGACACAACAAGGACTTAGAGAAATGGGTTAGAAGCAGATTTGGGAGGGGATCCAGGAACAAATGAAAACAAACTCATCTGCCCCTTCCTGGCCTCTACACGCTTCAGTGCAGCAAGCACCTGGTCATGCAGGCAGGAGATACTCCTCACTCAGAAAGCTGCTGTCAGCCCCGCTTGATCACAGCTCTTCCTGCCCACTAAGCGTCTGCAAAAACTCCGTCTGCCTCCACTCTGTACACTCCCTGACAGCACTTTGTACATGCTCCCACTAGTGCCTCGTGGTATCACCCAGGGCTGTGAGCCACCGTCCTGAACAAAGACACCTGAACTCCCTGAGCACCCCCTTAGTAGAGCTGGTGTTGCCTAGAGAGATAGGCCCTTGCATTTTTGTGCCCATCCGTCTGTCTTCCCTTCCTGGGCTGCCAGCGCACACATACTTGAATGCCACTTTGCACCAAAGTGCACGGTTGGAGTGCAGCGTACTACTACTGCCTTAGCCAAAGGAGAGAGCTTCCGCGCCGGTCACTCCGTGCATGCTCTGCTTCGTGGGGCTTTCCGCACCCGGATGCCTAGGGCACACGCCTCCCAAACCACGGCCGTGCTAAGTCAGAGCCCAGGCAGACGCAATAAAGTGACACAGCTGTGTGTGGATCTTCCCTTGTGTGCTGGGTATTTGTGTCCTGTGTGTGCGCGTGCTTTTTCTCTCCAGTTACGTGGAGCGATGTTAAGCAGTCCTATCCAGAAACCAGGAGCCACTGTATCTTCTGTTACGCCATGCGTCTCCCAGAAAGAGGAACATGCTCTGTTCCCAGACCCAGCAGCCTGAACCCCCTGGAAGCACTCCATGGGCAGTGGGTTTGCAGAGCAGGAGCAGGCAGAGGTACGAACCCCCTGGAAGCACTCCATGGGCTTGCAGAGCAGGAGCAGGCAGAGTAATGTACTACTTACATTGTAGTGGGAATTCATGCAAGGCACAGGGGAGGTTCAGGAGGGCTCCTACGCAGTCCATCCCTCCACGTCATCTCTAAGTGTAGCTGTACTGTGAGCTCAGCCTTAGTTCTGACCCAGGAGAGACCAGAACCAGGTCAGAATGGACCTCTTTCCCCCCTGCACACACTGCAGCTTTGCTCACCACAGCCTTTACAACAGCTGATGAAGTTGCTAGTTAATACTCAACTCGCTGCCAATTCTCTGCCTCACAGAAGAGCCGAGGTCTCTGTCTGTCCCTGAGGAATCAGTAGAGCAAAGGGATCGATATTCCGTATCTTGATGCAGTTGTTAAACTGCACCTTTCCTAAACCATGATCTCACAGCCAGGATAAACCCCGGGATTAAGCCTTCAGATAGTGTGTCCCTTGTAAATCCAGGGTAGGTCCATGGTCCCCACTTTGGGCTTATCTAGGCTGAACTACTAAGCACACAAAGCCTCCCCAGCAGCTCAGTTACACCCTCTCATGCCAGCGGGCCTGTTGGTCACACTGGCTGTCAGGAGCATCCTGCAAAGCTCTCCTGGCCTTCCCACTCACCTCCAGAGGTGCTTTCCGAGACATTCAATGCCTTGCAGCTACCTCTGCTCCACAGAGCTTCTTGCAGAAGCTGCTGCTGACCTCAGGGGAGCGACTGCTCCTTGCATTCAGCCACACCAGACTCCCAGCATAAGCGAGTGCCTGGGTACTTGTGGAAAAAACATAACCTTGCTCAGATTCTAAACAATTTGTTCCAAACGCCTTTTGAATTTTGATCAAATACCAGAAGTCTGAGCACACCGAAATCTGCACCATACACATAAATCCAATTCCAAGGCGATGTCGACTCATCTGTCCGAGACGAAAGGAATGCAGGAGGTTAATGGGTTCTCACGTGTTAAGGGCTTCATGGAAATGGAGACGATGCAATTCCATGGGATTACAGAAAGTCAGTGCAGCTGGGACAAAAGGGTTTAGATGTATTAAAGTTCCCAGCTGCTGAAGGGCTCTGTCACACACAGCTTGAACGGGGGTTCCTTCTGCTTTCTGTTGTGCCAACCCCAGCAAGCAGCTGTCTGATACTCCGCCGTAGCTTTCGGAGTCTCGATGACCAGTGCAGACGCGTGTGCTGTACCGACAGAAGGAGAACTGTGCCCAAGTAATTTATCACTTATATCCTCACCACCCAGACTCAGAGTATTTAGAAATCGGAGCATTAAAACACAAAAACTGAGCACTGCTGAAGCCTTCATGCTGGAGCAAAAAGAAAACCAAAGACAAACAAAAGGGTCTCGTCACAGTCCTGAAGATGGCAACAAGAGCTGTAGAAAGGGCCCCCCTTTCCTTCGCACACCACACCCATGGTGCACCGCAGCCATCTCTGGGGCAGAGCGCTGCTGAGCTCAGTAGGGAGCTACACCGAGCAAGGAATGAAACGTCCTCCGAAACACCCCACGTTGGGACAAACAGCTAGAGGATGAGAACTGGGGAGACAGTTTAAGATGCAAACTACTCACTTTTGGCCAAGACACTGGCATGAACACACCTCTTATCCTGGCAGCTTTAATACTCAGAGGCAGCAGGAAAACCCCGGATCCGGCCCTCCACACAGCCCTTCCCTGCCCTCGGCAGCTGGCATCTGATGGCCTGGGTAGCCAACTGCACCTTGGTGGCTGCCGTTGTACGAGATTCCATTGTGATTTTTTTCACTACAAAGCCCACCACAGTCAGTCCTGGCTATAAATGCCATTATACTTAAAGGGGGTGGGGGTACTTGGTTATGGGGTTGAGTTTTTTTTCTTCCTTTCTCCTTTTTTTTTTTTCTTCCATAACATCTTCTACGGCAAGTCTCTTGCAGAGGAACAGAACAGAGCAGGATGGGGCCCTGGCAAGGAAGCACTACCATACATCTCTTGTCAAGTCTAATTGAATTTTTCTGTATGAAGCATCTATTATTACCCACCTGGGGTGTTTGTGGACAGATGGAGGAGTTTGCTCCCCCACTAGGCACATGAGACTGGCGATGGGAGGGATGGGGAAGAAAAACCTGACAATTCTCTGTTGCTTGCAGCCCAGCTGTTCTAGCCAGTTGTAAAAGGGAGAATAGTTTAGAATATTGATTCCCCCAAAATCAAACAGCTTGTAGAGGCTGGGAATGGCACCTCCTGAAAGCCAGGATAGCAGGGCATCTGCCACACCTGCCGCAGCTGCAGCAGGGATGTGTACAGTCACAAAAGGGATGGAAAGCCAGCGACTTCTCCTGGCATTTGAACCCACAAACCTGTCAGGAGGAGAAAACCTCTGAAGAACTGGAAAACACTGGGCTAGTGAAGAAACATCCCCTGGGCACACACCTCCCTTTGCTGTCCCACACCACACCTCAGGGAAAAACAAAGTCCATGAGTGAACAGCACTGGCACTGAGCTAACCCAATTCCTGCTTCTCCTTCCATCTAAAGATGCTTTGCTACCAGAGATGCGCTTTGGAGTGACAGAGAAAACAACTATAGTGAGTTCAACTGGGAAATGTCATGGAAGCTGGAAAGCGTAACTATTGCTGGAGACAGCAGCATGACAACTGAGCTCCTACCCAGCGGCTTGCGTGTAAACAAAGGTACCAGAACGGGACCGATGTGGTCAAGGCTGGCGTGTGATGGAAAGAGATCACAGGAACAGAAACCCCAGGTAGAGCCAAGCAAGCGCACAAGCACACTCCGGGCTGAGTGTCAGCCTCTCGAGGAAGAGGTCTGTCTCCTGCAGAGGAGGGTGGCAGCGGAGGTTGCAGACCGCCCTTACTCCCTCCTCCCGCAGCTGGGGGCCCCAGCCCGCTGGCAGCACCCGGAGCACCGCGCTCTGCACGCAGCCCCGCTGGCAGCTCGGTGCCGGGGGCCGCCCTCGC